CTAGACACAACTGAGATGAACAACAACTTGTTAAGTTGAAGGGAGAAAGCTGATATTAATACCGAGACACCAGGAAGATAATGTAGAACTAGAACAAAAAAATAAATAAATAAAGGGTTCAGTTCAAAATTCCAATTACCTGAAGAAAGCTGGAAATGACAACAGTCCAAACAATGTAAATAATTACAAAACCTCATCTTAGATATATATATATATATATATATATATATATATATATATGTGTGTGTGTGTTGTTACATAGGAATAAAGTGTTGCTGCCGATACTTGAGTCTGAACATAGACCGCCAGTGAACAAATACAGGCGATCCTATTATTGAATTAAGTATACCACGTGACCATAGAAGAAACGCAAATATGAGAGGTAGCGTGTGTCTAATTGATCGCCATTTCTAGTTTATCCTCTATTACTATTCGGTTCGTCATTTCTATTCAATCCTCTATTACTATACGGACCGCTATTCTCTACTCTATTCTCTATACTATTTCTCTATTCGGATCATTATACGGATGACTATTCGATCAAGTACTATTAGTGCGGTTGATATTCGAAGGCGTCTGACACCAGCATTGTTCAACGACGTCAGAATAGTTGTATCTGAATAGTTCTGCTACAATGAGCGTTACGAAAGTGACAACGAGTATTCGTCGACATCACAGGAGTAGCAACAAGTGTTCTTTTGACATCACAATATATATATATATATATATATATATATATATATATATATATATATATATATATATATATGATAAAAATATAGTTTTAAGATATGCTACATTCATGGATAAATATGTAAATATAAAAAGTGGACATTGAGCTTAGCTCCCAGCTATTTCACGTCCTGAAGATTGAGTTTAAGCTTGAAACTGACTTTCGCTGCAATATATATATATATATATATATATATATATATATATATATATATACAGAGAGAGAGAGAGAGAGAGAACTACTCCAGTTTTGTTTTTGTTTCTCATGTGCATTTGAGCGACATAATAGAGAAAATATGGTTTCCGACAGTTCGAAACTGCTACTCCTTTGTAGGAGAATCCCTCATCTGGCACGGTGTGCTTAGATTGCTCGGCTACAATGTGGTCTCAGGCTCGAACCCTGTCGGAAAGCCATTCGAATGCGCAAGTCGGTAGACATAATTCATAATTGTTGGAAAAAAGAATAGGGCCTCTACTGAATCATGGGCATCACAAAATAACATTTAGTTTAGTGGGATATAGTGTCAGACAAAACATCCATTGATTTCCTATGTACATAAATCGATTACACAAGTATCATTTATTTCAACTGACATCGTCAGCATATTTTTTATTATATTCGTCCAACTTAAATATAGGTTGCTGCTCAATCAGATTTGTGGGGAAACTGTCTGCAGATGAAGTATTAGTTGTTTTGAACATCTCTAGTCATTATCAGGAGTGTGAATTAGTTGCTAGTTTCTTAGAAAGAAAAAAGATTTTATAAATTTAATGTTGACATTTGATGAGAGCTCTGTTTTTTGAGGATACCCGTTTACTAGGGCGGGAAGCCAATCCCTAATTCGGACGCTCGCACAGGCAGATTTGTGTTTGTTCAACACCCACAGAGCCCACCTGTGGTTTATACTGCAACTGAGCAGACCTTAGTTACATTTTCTGGGAGAGAGCGTGTTATCTATCGTGATCAACAATCTGAACAAGGCCAGCACGTTCAAGCCCTCGGTCACGATGACTTGTGACTTCGTGCAAGCACAGCCATCGACGGTCTCCCAAGTGTTCCGTCTACCCAATTTCACTCAAAAAGCTTGGGTCAACCCGTCTATAGTTTTCAGGCACTTTCCAAAGCGTAAACCCTGGTATTGTCTCTCTCCAGACCGATAGCTACAGGAAGTCTCTTTCATGACAAACCAAACATGGTAAGATTCGAACACGGGCCTCATGGTCAGAAAGTGAACTTTCGACATTTACATGCCTACATACACAAACACTTAAGAATATATGTTGTCATTTGAATCCCGCATACACAAACTAGTATTATTATATACTTACATTCATAAAACATTATTTGCAGCCGATCACGGAGGAGATCGAAGGTACTTGGGTTAGAAAAAATTACGACACCTTCCTTGATGAATTTCAAGTTAAAATCAAGAAGCTGATTAGAGAACGAGAAAAGGATTATTAAAAAAATAAATAGACATATATTGTTTAATAAAACATGTTTGAATTATATGCTGTCAATATATATATATATATATATATATATATATATATATATATGTACTTGTCTCTGTGTGTGTTAGTATGTGTCATTCTATAAAACAGTTTCCTAATTTTATATCTGTCCCTTACAACAAACCAATTATTATCCGAGAAAAGAAATAAATTGGAATAGAATAGAAAAGAATTACCGTGATTCTCTATTTGTAAGTGTAAAATTTCAGGTGGGCATATTTACATATAAGCCTAGAGATACATAATCGTAGTCATGCATACACATAAAACAAATACACACGTTTATATAACTATGTAAATATATATATAATATATATATATATATATATATATATATATATATATATATATATATAGTCGTGCTTATTTATACATGTAATATGTTTGTATGTATGCATACGTGCGTGTTTTACATATTTATGTACTTATGTATATGACTTATGAACATAGAGACCAACATATCTATATATATATGTATATATAGACATTTAATACACATATGCATGCATGTATAATTTTATATTATTGTTAAGACGTAATCATGTATAAATACACGTATATATATATATATATATATATATATATATATATATATATATATATATATATATATATATATATATGTATGTATTTGTAATTATGAATATACAAATGTTTATATATATTAATGTACGCATCTACATACGACCACTGGAGCACATACATATTTATATACATGTACATACTATATATATATATATATATATATATATATATATATATATATATATATATATATATATATATATATATATATATGTATGTATTTGTCGGTGATTGTGTGCACAATCACCAACAAATAAGCATAAATATTTATACATACAGCCATATATATATATATATATATATATATATATATATATATATATGTATGTATGTATGTATGTATGTATAATCAAGTGATATATTTCTTCGTAAATGTATTAATTGTAAATCTAAAAGAAATTCTCCACACAGAATTACACCGTAGAATTGCTGTGCGGTGAATCGGTCTTTGAAAAAGATGGTGGCGGGGACGCATGCGCAATGTTATAAAAAAAAAAAAGGCATAAGACAAGTGAGCATGCGCATAGAATCATGTGAGCAAGATGGTGGATAATTGAATGGCAGCAAAAGAAAAAATAATTATGTTTTTGGGGAGGAATGAAAGAAGCGGGAAAAATGTTGAGAACGGAATGTAGGGACACAATAGACAGGTACGGTTTAGAAGATGTGGTGGGGGGGACGGAGAAAGTGTGTATAATTCCTGAAAATAAGAAGGAGAAAAAGATGGTGAGGTGATGATGCAACATTGCGAATAGAAAATGAAGGAATGAAAGAACAGTGTAAGGTATCAATGAGATTAAAGTTGAAAAAGGACGATTCCAAAATCTGAAGAATCGAAAGAAAAGAAATAATATGAAGAAAGAAAACAAACAAAAAAGAAGAAAATAACGAGTTGTGAAAGAAAAGGAAGAAGTTAATGGAAAAGATAGAAAATAAGAAAGAAAGAAAGAAAGAAAGAAGATTAAAAGAAGAGAAAGACAGGTTTTCAATGAAATATCAGTAGCTAAGAAAGAAGAAGAAGAAGAAGAAGAAGAAGAAGAAGAAGAAGAATGAATGAATGAATGAATGAGACTACAGGTAACTAAATAGGTGAGAAGAATATTATCAAGATAAGAAAAAATTATTGAAATAATAAAATTTTGTTTACAGTGAAAAAAGAATGCGCTAAACACTGTACGTAAGAAAATGGGCGAGGTGAAAGATAGTCAAACGAAGAAGAAAATTGATTAAAGGAAATTTATGAAATTGAAAGAAGAAAAAAAAAGAATGAATGAATGAACTTTAGTATTTGATCGATAATAGTGATTAATTACATAAAATTTAATTCCCATATCTCCCCAGCTTGGCCTGTCTATTATAAAGCAATGATTTCTTACCAACCATTCCCTTGTTTCGTCAGTTTTATTCGCTCTTGATGCTCAACTGTTGCAGCCCTGTGCCAAACTAATTAAAGCTTAATACACATTTATATATTTTTGTTGCTTTTTTCCTTCTTTCCTTTTTCCCGTTTTTCATTCGCTCTTTTTCTCCTTCCACGCTTTTCTTTCCATTCTGTTCTTTTTCATTTTCTTCTCTTACCCTTTCCTTCCATCTCTTCTTTCCTTCTCTTTGCTCCTTTTCTTCCTTCTTCGCGTTTCTTTCTCCTCTTCTCTCTCTCTCTCTCTCTCTCTCTCTCTCTCTCTCATACTGTTCATCCTTTTTTTCTTTTTCTTTTTATGTTGCTTCCTCTTCCTGTTCGTTCCGCCATTTTCTCTAATACTTTTTTTTTATTTCTGCTTCTTGCATCTACGATCGCATCTTCGGTCCTTTTGGATTTTCTGTATTAAACTTATTCTCTTTCATTCCAGTTTTAATCATTTCTTCTTCTTCTTCTCCTTCTTCTTCTTCTTCTTCTTCTTCTTCTTCTTCTTTTCCAAGGCCCCTTTTCCTCTTCATCTATATTCGCTTTCTCCTTTCCCTTCTCAGCTCCTCTATTTCCTTACTCTTAACTTCTGTCCCGCCTCACTCATTCTTCGCTTTCTTCTTCTTTGTCTTTATTCTTCTCTCTCTCTCTCTCTTTCTTTCTCTCTCTCTCTCTCTCTCTCTATCTCTCTATCTATCTATCCATCTATCTATCTATCTCACTCACTCACTCACTCTCACTCTCTCTCTCTCTCTTGTTAATATTTTCCGGTTCTCATGCCATCACCGAAGTTAAGCAATGTCGTGCTTGGTCAGTACCTAGATGGCTGACCTCTTGGGAATTCCAGGTGCTCTAAGCCTAAATGTGCGAATGGTGTAAAGAATAACGGCTCGGAATTTGAAATCGGAGAGCAGTCACTTATGTGCCATGCGTAATACACACTTAGGCGATCATGTATCTTTTGATAACTGACTGACGAGGCAGATTTTTTTCCAGCAGTAGGTTGCCATTTCTTTCTGCGGTAGACCAGTTGCCATCCAAGGCTAAAGAACCCGGTTTTTCCTGCTATTTACCCATTGCTGATGGTAGGGTAGAAGAAGAGGATTCATACCTTTTCCCTTGGGAAAGGTATGAATCCTCGGATTCTTCAATCCGAGCCGCTATCCATTACTCCACCGTGCCTCCAGAGAGCCGAGTTCCAATTCCAGTCGGGTCTATTATAGTCACTTAATCACAAATAAGTAATCCACCTCTCCTTCCCCATCTATGGGTTAATTAGTAGGACTTGTATTAGTAAATTATTATTATCACCAAAATGCTCTTGCGATCTAAAAATATATCTAGCTTTATATTATGCTAATTTTTTTCTTTTTCTATTCTCTTTTTCTACTGGCTCTCATCTTATTCCCTACTCTTATCTCTCTCTCTCTCTCTCTCTCACACACACACACACACACACACACACTTCCTCTTTTGTCCACTTTCTGCTTTTACTTCATTTTTCTATTCTACTCTTACAATTTTCCTTGCCCTCTTCTTATTTCCTTTCTTTTTCTCTCCCTATTATCCCCTCCCTCTTATTACCCTTAATTCTCCTTTTCACTGTCCGATTCACATTTCTTCTTCTTCTTCTTCTTCTTCTTCTTCTTCTTCTTCTTCTTCTATAACCTTTGTTTCTTCTTCACTCTGCATCCATTTTATTTTTTTAGTTTAACTCATCATTCTATTTCTCTTTTTCTTTTCTTATTCCTTCTCCTTTGATTTGTCTTCTTTCACTTTCACTTTCACTTTCTCTTTCTTCCCTTTCGTCAACTCTTTTCTTCTCTTCTTTCTTATATTCTCACAATTTGCTTAAAGATGCAACAAGCGGACCGGTGGTGGGCTGAAAGTCACCGCGAAAATAGACATCCGCCAATCCACTTATAACAGAAAAAAAAAACGCTACATTCAAAGGGAGGTAATTGTTTAAAGGAGAAATTCACGCCCGCGCTCAAAAATTGGGATTTATTTTTCTAAAATAAAAAACTCGGGAAAAACAAGAAAACGTACGTACGTACGTACACACACACACACACACACACACACACACATATATATATATATATATATATATATATATATATATGATAAAAATGTTTTTTCAGATATGCTATATTTATGGGTAAAAGTGCTCAGTATCATGGATACAACGTGTGTAAATATAAAATTGGACACTCAGGTCAATACCAAGTGAGGGCAATCTTTTTCATATTTAAATGCAATCTTTATGAATATTGCGTCCAAGCATGAAACAGACTGTCGCCACTCAGTGACGATTTATATATATATATATATATATATATATTATTTGATTAGATGCTCCGTTTATTTTAAACAGTATTTATTTCGTCTACTTTCAAGCGTAAACGAGAAAGGTTCTTAAAGAAAATGTGCTCCGGATAGGATTCGAACCTGCGTTCCCCCGTTGAAGTTGAAAAATACGTCGGATTAAAGAAAATTATTAAATTCATTAATTAATTCCAGCGGTTTCTGGCATAGTGAGCTGTGGACGGAGCAACACATATCTTGCTTGAATTATTTTTATTTACATGTTATTTTGCATAAATGGTCACATGTTACATTTAAAAGAGGCTCATTGTGAATCTTTCATCTTTCTTCTTACCTATGTCCCCTTGTTTTCAATTACTAATCTACATTTGATCGAATTTATATACCTACCATAGATCTACTTCGATCTACCCTTAATTATTTGATTATCAGAACTTAATAATGAGATTTTCAAACCAAGGTCGCAACACCGGCAACCTGTTGCAAAACGACTTCTACCAAATCCAGATAAAAGAGGCAAGGTGTTTTTTTCTTCTTTCTCTCTCAGTTGCCGTTGTTTGGTTTAGGAATAACGTTTCTTTTGCTTAAGTCACCCCCACACACACACTCGTAGCCTTACTTTCTGAGGGAATTTGCTACAATATGAACCATTGACAAAAAAAATTGAAAAAAGCAGTTCGTATACGACATGTTGCAATGAATCTATCTTGGAAACAGCACCCTATAAAAATCAGCTCCATCGTCACCTACCTACCGTTTCAAAAGACGCTTGGTGAGAATAATTTTATAGGGCATTCTGGAAGAAGTAATGACGTTCTTTTTTGGCAACCAAAATATGCACACATTATCATTGGTCGGCCATTCAAAACCTACAACCAGCAACTACGTATCTGAAGACACAAGATGGTAAACTAAAACCTGCCAGAGTTGATGCATAATAGTGAAGATTGCAAGATCTTGCATAGTCGTGAGAATCCGTGCAATCGGCACGCACTAGTAATGATGATGATGATGAGGAGGAGGAGGAGGTGTTGGAAGTGGAGGAGAAGGAGGTGGAGGTGGTGGAAGTGGAGGTGGTGGAGGAGGATGAGGAGAAGGAGGAGGAAGAGGATTGTTGTATTCATATCCAAATGTTCACCTTATAAATAGCACAACTGCTATTTATAAGGTGGACATTTGGATATGAATACAACTGGATGCTAAACTAAACCTAACCGTTGGCTTGGATTTGTATTCTTGGAATATTAGCCCAAATACCCCCGGCCCGGGTGTGGGGATTGGGCTTCTATCCCGGGCAATACCTCTCCCCTTTATAACCCAGTACCTGAGGCGTCCCCAAAAGGGAAGTACCGAGCGGGCTTGGGAATTTTGCGCGATGTGGCCGATAGACCCACTTTAAACATTGACCCTATGTCACATCCGGTTGCGACGTGGGTTGTATTCTTTGAATATTAACTTATGCCCCAGGGAACGATTTAACTCCCCCACCAGTCAGTACATCTCTCTCGGGAGGAGGTTGGTTATTGCCCTGTGTCTGAGAGTTCCCCAAAAGGGGAAGTGCTGAAGGGTCTTGGAAATTTTTTGCGAGGTATAGCCGTTAAACCCCTTTGAAATCTCGACCATGTGTCCCATCCGGTTGCGATGTGGGCGCCCTGGTAAATACCAATAATACTAATCTCGAAGATGAAACTACTAGAGAAATACTAGTGAATACATTTAACTAATTGTAGTTTACAACAATGATGAACATGCTTCCAGACTAACATAAACCATTCGAGACAGAGGATTACAGAGTGATATGCACCACTCCAAGATGAAATGGGCCGCTAGAAATGAAGGAAATGGCCTTAGAAGGAACCGGAAACCCAATCCTAAATAGGTAACAAGCAATAAACCTTTGATTCTGTTTTCTTGACTTTCTGAAATTATAACGTGTTAAAAATAAATACAGCCTTTATTTTTTTTTAAGAAATGAATTCATGGAATGATATTTATTTAGTCTAATAGGAGAATTACTAGCAGACGTTAGGTAAGTAATAATCCAAGTTTTTGATTTAGAGTTACGCGTTAGTTAATGCATATTGAACATTTGTGAAGCTTTGTGAAATCGGCTATAAAATGGAGACCATCCTTTGAATAGCTTGTTCGAATTTTCATAAATAAATCTTTTATTGATCAGCATGAAGCTTATTCAATTTTATTTGCCTTGGACATGGAGTTATTCTGATACTCACATTTTAAATGATGTCGTTTTGGGGAGAGCACCATATATATATATATATATATATATATATATATTTATAAATGAGCATCACATCATTCTTTGGATTAACAGTATTTTAATGCATACATTATATTCTACTAGCGATGTGATATCGCCAATAATAGCATTAATATTGCTGCTTGATTCTATGCGTGATTATTTCTTTGTATATATATATATATATATATATATATATATATATATATATATATATATATATATGGTGGACACTCCCGTCGTATTCGACGTATGAGGGTCAAGCAGCTCACTTCCTAAGAACCGATAACCAGACACCAGCACATATGATTTGATTATAGTGGTGAAGGCTTTGTGCAAAACTAAACTCTCTCTCTCTCTTTCTCTCTCTCTCTCTCTCTCTCTCTATATATATATATATATATATATATATATATATATATATATATATATATTATAATTTTATCATATAGACAAAACCATTTTACTCACTACAAAGATGCCACTTCGTTTCGGTGCATTTCAATTGTGCCTCGACGGATGAGAACCAAAAATAGTTATGAACAATTCTGCTTGTAAGCAAGCCATATGTGAAACGTCATTTCCTTTTTTCCATTTGTTTGGGGAAAAAATTTACATAAAACAAAAAATTGACGGAGTGAAACAATAGTGCTTGTTAATAGCAGTTTGGTGAGGGATGGATGGCGTGTTGAATGCTGGCTAGTCTGGGAAGATTCCTTACCGATAACCACGGTCAAAAGTTTACGCACAGCATCTCACAAGCGTCCTAAGAGTGAGGGGTTGGGGGAGGTTGGAATAGGAAATAGTAATACGATGGAGTAGGTAGGAGGGATACATTTTAGCAACAGTTATAGTAGTAATTGGGAATGCTTCTTTTTTTTTTTGGTCTACTATAAGAAAAAAACAAGCTAAAGCTAAGATATATTAATGGAGAGGTGTATAAGAGGGTAGGAAGTATATCAAAGAAGGTGAGTTATAATTTTAAACGTTTAGAGTTATGCAATTAAGAATTTAGCAAGATTATAATGTTAGATCCTTAATATATGTCTACAAAAAAAACGGTGGTTTTATATCTTTGGTTTAATAATTGGGTGTTGTCCAAAAATTCAATAATACATATTTTCTCCTGCAAACATTAAAACCAAGGTCTGTCATCCTTATATTTTGCAGTAATTTGTGCATCGATTGCATCTTCATAGTCTACAGTAGCCTGTTGACACTGCAGATTGCTTTCGATGCAAGTAAATTCTTCATGGTTTTCAACA